AAACACACTGTTGCTGTTTAGCTTTGAATAGCTAGAAGCATAAAGCTACCAGTGAGGTTCACCTGGTTTTTGTGCAGGTCAAGTAGAGTCAAGTTCTCCAACTTGCTGAGGGCACCCGCAGGAATCTTAGAAATTAAATTCCTGTCAAGACGAAGCTGTTCCAGGCTTGCTGGTAGGCCTGACGGGACTTCCTTTAGCTGGTTTCGGTTTGCATAGAGATATAGCAGTGCTGGAATCTTCTCAAAAACCTGCAGAGGAGATGGATACCCATTTCAGAATTGAAAGTGTTTAACGATGTGTTCAAGTTACAAACTGCAGTACAAGAACCTCTCTGACCTGTTTGTCTATTCTGTGAATGCGGTTGTTCGCAAGATTGATCCAGCGGACTTCAGTAGCATTCTTGAATGGCTCTGCAGTTACCTCTGAGATGTAGTTGTTTTGCAGATACAGGTAATGAGTTCTTAATGGGATGACAGGAATCACACGGATGTTGCGGTTCTCACAGTTAAGTGAATTGGGATAGCTCGGGGAGCATGAACACTCTCTGGGGCAGTCAGGGTAGACGGAGGGTGGGCCCAGGATGACTGGGGGGAAGTCTGTGGGTTCTCTGGGTTCTGGTACTGCAGGTAGCAGGACAGAAGGCCTCCTGGTGGTAGCTGGGCGCCTAGTGGGCTTCTTTGGGCGAGGTCTCTGAGTGACCACTGCTCCTATTAGGAGGAACAGAGCCAGCGCAGAGAAGAGTCCCACACCAGCCTTCATCGTCCTGCAAAAAACACACGAGGCAACGTTTTGATATTTCCATGCATTTGGACATTTATGGGTTAAGCAAAGAACCAAAGCAGCTACATATTTAGAGCCTGAGACACACTGGGTCTTTGCTCTGTGTGTGGGTGTGATGGTCCTTTGAGTGTACAAAATCCTTTTTTCCTGCTATGATTTATTTATTCCTTTTGAGAGGAACATGGAAATACTTCTTTTCAAGTCAAAAGCTCTGACGGTTTTGTTCAAATTGTATTTAGAGGCATTTTTCAGACACCCTGAGAGAATTGCTCTCAGGAAAAGTTGAAAAAGTTGTTTTACTTGAAACTTAATTACAATAAAGGGTAGAATCCAGGCAATGTTCTCCCTGAATACATACTGTCCCACCTGAACACAGCTGAGGCAAGTGTGGGGTTTGATTTGATCTAAGTTGGCTGAAAACTTTGATAAGTTGCCTATCCATGACTGCCAAAACCAAAGCTATGCTAAAAAGGATCAGATGTTAATATCCCCTTTACTTTTGTACCGAACATAATCTTTGATCCATGTTTTAGTCATTTGCATTTGCCTAAATGGGACAAATGTTTGCATGTGTTATGAAAGTTTCAGAAGAGAGCCATCGTGATAAATATGAACGGATACCAAACCATCATCAGGTTTGCACCATTTGGCCTTGTGTGCCCCCTTAAGGTTTTGCGTCACACAGACAGTTTGTATGCCAACCGACTTGCGCTTCAGCCTACTTGATCCTCTTCCTCACATCACTCTAAGGTCTCAGACTGAGTGCCTTTCCTCTACCACTATACAGCTTTGTTCTTCAGCCAACATCAAATCCCTTTGCTTTAAAGGCTGTCAGTGCTCTGAATTTCAGCCCACTCTATAACAAACTGAAAACTGATAGTCAAACCAAATAAAAACCTGCGATGAAACATCCAAATTCTAAACGCTAAAATGTAATTCACAGAAACTGATTTAGTTTTTCAGCTGAAGGTTGTATTTTTGTCAAATCCAGTGAGAGAGAAACACCTTTTTTCATCCGGTTCGTTTAAATTTGAGATGAGGAGCGGCTGATACAGGAAATTAGTGCTCAAGAGAAAAAAGGCGTAGGATAAAGACTCTATTGTCAGGACAGGTCTTCAGGGAGAGATGTAGCGGAGGAAACTGCTTGCATGGGTTCATACAGCACTCTGACCAAGTGAGGGGTCTGATGGAAGCTGCACGAAATCCCACCCAAACTTGGATGGCCACAATGTGTATTGTGAAATGGTATTCATATAGGTTTCTATTTTTTGGGTAATATCCTTTATGTTCACCACAAACATGTTCATGTCATATCAATGTTTAGTTAGCTTTTTTAACAAATGTAATTACTTACATTAAGGAATATCCCTTTCGATAGTATAATGATTCATCCCAGACACACCCAGCTTTTATTCACCACGAGAAGACAGGAATAAGAATTTTATTCATGAACCTTAATTGAGGACTTTATGAAATATCAAAATATTTTTGAAAATCCAGCAGACTTCCATCCACATTTGATGGAAATGGCAATAGATAATGAAAAAAACATAAGTTAATAGTCATACCTGTCATTCAGTGTGCAGACTGGATCGTTACCTTTACAGTATTTACTTTATACAATTATACAATTATCTGTGCAGGCAGAAAACCAATTACCACAAAGCTCTCTGAATCATCAAAGATAAAGGCACAGATTGTTACCAAGCACTGCCTGGCTTCTGAAAACCACTGCCCAGGTTGATGAATATCATGCATAAATCACAGGGCAGAAATGAGGCTCGGGTCCAGACTCGATGCCTGAAAAAACAGATCTGAACCTTCCTCTGTAAGTGTTCCCTGGCGCTGCCCTTCCTTTTCCCCTCTCAGAGCCTCACAGCCCTTCGTTCAAAAGCAGACCTAGTTCTCTTTCCCATAATGCTGCTGTCATGACCAGAAGTTTGGCAAACAGTTGAAGACTTGGTGTCATAGATAGCTGATTCATTTGTTTGTTATCCAAGCCTATAATGAGTAAAACTGACATTTGTACTGAAGAACTAAGCCCATGGCAGTATGTCAAAAAATCCATCACACGACAAATTTGGTGAATGCGCCATACAGTCTCTCATTTTTTTAGGAGAATGGATGAATGTGTGAAAACCTCAAAATGAGCCATTTATACTGGGTCTTCATTTTTAAAATATTAAATTGGCACAGTTCAAATAAAGATTGTATGATATGACCAAGTGGATTTACTGTTATGGATTTCATTGGGTGAAGGGATCCAAGCACAGGGCCAGAGAAAAAAACAGGGAGGATGAATAAACAGCGAAGCATTTATAGAGAGGAGAGTTTACTGAGAAAAAGGCAGCTGGGGACAATGAGAGTTGAGTTGATGAACAGAACCACCAAAGACTGAGGAATATCAATGTATAAAAGAAACAAAAGGAAACACAGTAAGCCAAAGATAGGAAACAAGCTAACCTAACTTAGAAAACACAAACCAACCCAACCGAAGGCCAGAGAATCTATCAATCACCATGCTATTAAGCCCTAAAAAGTAATGGTGTGTAGATCAATGAAGACATTCTTAACTATCTACTATTCAAAAATTAAAATCATTGTTCAATCTGCACTTAATGTGCAATATTCAGTGTGATATTACTTGTGATACAGAACAAGCTAATTGTCAACAAATGAAACCAGAATGATAAACCATAATAATCAAGTTACTCCTGTAATTCACATCTTAAAACACAGTCAGACATGGTTGGTACAATGATTGAATTTCACAAACTCAAAGATCTATAAAAACAGGGAGGTCCACATCCAGTTGCTGCTCAATGGTAATGGGTTTTGAACAGTTTGATGCTTTTCCATCTATTTTCATTGAAGTTCCTCTAAATTTGCAGTATTCCTTTTAGAATTAGCAGGATTAATCGTGCTCTGTTATGATTTAAGGCTCAGTCATTGCTGTGATTATTTGACTTTTAGCATAAGTCAAGTTGAAAGACCCATCATCTTTGCCTCCAGCTCAATTTTCCAACACCTGGTTTTCTAACATTTTTTGCTCCTTTCTTGGCTTCTTAATCTTGACATATCCGATACCTTCAATGGCAGAGACATTGCATTAGCCTCACAACATGACAGAACCTCCTCCGTATTTTACTGCAGGCAGGATGCTCTTCCTCTGATGGCACTCATTCCATTAACTACTAAAATAAGGGGGTGCTACCTAGAGACCTCATTTTTTATTGTTTTTCCATACAATATTTTCTCAGAAAAATTCATTTTTAACTTTTTTTTTTAAGTGTCATGGTGGGGGTGGAACATGGAGGAAGTCTCAGATGCAGACACAAAGGACTAAAGAATTGATCATAAAAAGACATCTAATGTGCATCTGAGACCGAATATGGGACAGCTGAAGGCAGGGAGAGCAGGTGTGGAGGTTTTGGTTATTGATCAGAAGGGAAGCATACTGATGAGACAGAGAGACAAAAGAAGAGGACAGGAAACTAAAAAACAGGAAACAGGACCCTGAGAGAAACTGAAAGACAACTGAAACAAGCACTATAAAAATAAAGTAAGGACATAGAGAAGCAAGGAGTAAGCATGACTATAAAATATAGAATGGAAACAAGAATGGAAAAATCCATCTATCAAAACACCAAAAACTGATCAGGAACAAACAAAAAATAGTCCATAAAACCAAAATCAAGAACTTATCACAGAAAGTTTGAGCAGACACGTTCTTTTGGCTCCACACCTGGCAGGTTTTATTAATTTGGAACATCTGTCATCTTGTCAGTGAGGCCTTTCAGAGGTTTTCATATCTTATCAATTTTTTTCTTTGTTTATAATTCTTTAAAAAAAAATCCACATCCACTTTTCTGCAGTAAATCACAGCTTGATTAATTCAGTGTACATTTAACAATATATTTATTATGTTGGAATAAATCTTCCCGCTCAGCATCTCTAAATTGGATTAAGCAGTCATAGAAAATGACCCTGTGAAGCCAAGTATCACAAGAAAATAGAAAAACATTTAATGGGGGCATTTTTACACGCTTACAAAATGTAATATACCATCAAACGGTTAAATCATGAGATTACAGTAACCACTAAATATAGAGTTAGTCAAGCAACTAACCACTCACTACCCTCACACCCCTTACTATTGCAGCCTGTGAGTGTCTAAGTTCTGATAGGCATATGTCTGATTCACATCAGTATTTAATAATCTGACACAGATACTGGAAAGTATGTGTGACTAATCAAGAGAATATTAAATATCTCAAGGTTTTAAAGTGATTTTCTGTCTGCTGGGTGATAATGTTGATGTAAAGAATTCATAACTGTAGCTGTTTGGCCAGTAATCAGTTTGAGGATGCACTGAAATATCAATAAAACTACAGCTATGACTAGAAGAAACCAAGTCTGCAGTCTTGTGACTCCAGGCAATTGGTCCTCCTTTTCTGCCTGACACACGTATGAACATTGGTCTGTAGTCCCTGTTTATTTTGTGATCTTCAGTAACCTCTGCCAAAATTAAGTTTTTGTTTGTTTCCATATTCCTGCCAAACTGCAAACTGGAGTTTAATGTTAAGTCCACCACGTTTATAGTGTTTCAGTGTGTTATGCCAAAACAAATTTTAAAAACTTGCATTCCGAAGAGGTTTTTCACTTCTTTTCAGTTTTGGAACTGTAGTTTTGGTTAACACCCATATTGGAACAGCATCCATGTTAAATCATTGCAGAGTAAGGGGAAAATGACTCAGGTTGTGCCTAACGTTTTTGTCCCTGCGTTAAGTAAAGTAAACAGTGCTACTTTTGGAGCAAACTAACTAAAACTGGGTGTGTTTTTACTTCTACGCAGCAGCCGCTCTCCTCACCGACCAATGGAAAAAGCCCAATCCAGGTGAGCACACGGGAGAATAAGTTGAAATGTAGCATGCAGCTGCTCCCGGAGGACAGAGTACCACTTTGTAAAGCGTTTCTATAGAAACACACTAGCATGGCTCAGCTGAGCTTGTGCCAGGATTCCTACTCAGTCCACAAACAGTTCCCTCTCAGCTTGTGACTCCTTCAGCTGGAAACGATCCTGTTTGCTATCTCATTTTATTGATCCCCTATTGTCAAATACATCCCCATAGGAGACAACAAAACACGTTTCTTACCTGCCTCTGGTACCTGCCCTCCTTTGTCAAGTCACAAGTTAGTCTCTTTCCTCTTTTCTGCCTCTCACACTCCTTTCCTACCCCTCCCTCCTTCTCTCTCTCTGTTTCTCTTCATCTGAAGCTTCCCCTCCCTCTCTCTCCCTCCGTTGGTGGACAGGCCAGCCTGTTGGGTTTGTTCCCTGCCTTCTTTCCCTCTGAAGGTCACAGTGGCTCTTTTTTTTCTCCCCGTCTGCTGGGCCGAGCTCCAAAAAGATTTTATCTTGATTTCTTCTGGAAAACTGCAGTCCTTTTATGTGTCTGAGCTGTACCACCGTTTGATATCAATTGGTTCAACCACACCAGAGGTTGAAATTCATGAAAAAAGAAGAAATACACAACAGGGTATGGCATATTTGCATGCAAAAGCATGTGTCAGAAGTCTTTGAGAAATGCTGTTAACACTGGACTTCTGTTAGCTAAGCTCAAACCGTGTCTTCTCCCTGTTTCCCACCCACTTTGCCATTGTTTAGATGAGTGCACACAAATCCAGCCATGTGTTTTTCATTAGCATCATCTTTCCACCGACTCCACGATATCTTCTCTGTATCCATCATTTAGTGTAAGTAAACTCCAGTGGTGTGAACACTCAGGTCCGGCTTGTGTGCGTGAGTTTGTGCGTGTTTCGCCGTGGTGGGCGAGGGGCTGAGTCGCACCCTGATTGACAAACTGTGCAACCTTCATGTATGTGTGTGTGTGTGCTAATATGTCACTTGGGGTTCAGAAGTGGACATGTGTTTGCTGGACTGCATTCCTCCAGCGTGAGCAGCAGCAGCAGAGCAGTAATGGCTCGACCACATGTGGGGATCTGCCTCAAACACACATCATCACATGCCTCCTTCTGGTGCGTTTCTCACTCTCATGCCTTCTTGCCACCATTCTCCTCTTGAATAATCAGCTGCATTATGGGTTACCAAGCTTGACCTAACTAAACATCTTGTTTGGACAGGCCCAAACAAATACAAGTGAGAAAGAAAGAATATTTTAACAAATATGCCAAAAACTGTGTATCAGTTTTTGAGTGTTCTTTTGCTCTCTGCTACCATATAAAAAGATGGAGAGAAGCTGTTAAATGACTAAGCTCCTCTGATCAACAGCAGTGACCTCACCTCTGTAAAAAAAAAAGGGGTTTTATATTGTGCTGCCTTCAGAAATGACATCACTGGAAATAGCTGGTCTCTTGCTTTTTTTTTTTTTTGATGTGTCACACTCATACTATTACATCAGAGATTTATTCAAATCCATATGAAAAACTCTTAAATTGACAAAAAAAAAAAAAAGTTATGTTATACGGTCCTGTTCTAAAATAAGCTTTAAGTACTTTAGGTAAAAAACCTGTTCTCTGGCTGCTTTATATTATATAATTATTTATTTATAATATTTATATAATACAATATTCTCTACCTCTAGCTATACAGTGTTCACCAGAGTGATCTTTTCCTCTGATTAATAAAATGACAGATTTCCACATTTTTATACTTCTTTCTATGTAGTTGATCAAGTCAGATGTACACTCTCTGTTTCAGAGAACATTTAAAAATTAGGATGTCATGCCCAATGTTTTATAATCTACACAATTTCCCACCTTTTTAGCCACTATTTCTATTAGAGCATGAGCGGCTAATCACTGAGGTTAGGTTTCTGATGTGGAAAATGGATCACATGGCTTGTGGAATGTAATTCCTTGGCATGCAGCGTTCAGAGACATAGAGAGTCTCGACTAAGATGATCAGATGTTAGTGCCCCTTTTATTCAGGGCTGAACTCAACCTGTTGATTCAGAGGAAAATATATATGTTTATAGGCTGAAACCTGTTTTTACTGCAGGAAATCTTTAACCAGCAGTGCTCCTCAGTGCTAATACACACCACAGCAGCTGTTTTCCAAGCAGATGGAGAGACCAATACAAGCTCAGGCTAAAGGCCAAAATGACTTGTGTGTATAATAATCTGAGAATTTTCCATGAACGGTTTGTTCTGTTATCCACGGAATGATTTGGACGATTGAATTGTTTGGTTTTGAGAGAGTTGCACATGATTTTCAGCCAGAAATGTTCCCACAGCATACAAAATCATGCGAGCAGCATCCACTTTGTCCTGTCAAGGGGACATTCAAAATTCGAGGATATTAATTCTACTTTAACAAAAATAACACATTAATACACTTTTATTAAAAGTGTGTACTGTGGAATTTCTTCCATAGAGGAAATGTCTTCATTAACCTAGAACAAAAGAGGTTTTTATGGCAATGTGACCAAGAGATTTAGAGAATTAACGCTCCCTAAATACAACACAACTACTGGTATGCAGTACCAAAACTATAATAAATCCTGGTGTGGCATTGTTATACTGTCAAGGTTTTGGGTTTTGCATGAGCTCAATGGCTGCAGTTAGCCAGCGGAAGTGTACACTAAACATGCCCGATGCAGCAACACAAATTTGTATTTGTTTTAATCTCCTTTGTTTGGTCGTTTTTACTTGTGGCCCAACTAGAAGGGTTAATGTTCAGTGTTGATCAGGAAAACTACCCAGCGTTTCTCTGGTTTCATGTTGCTCAGGCATGTGATTGAATGTTGTTGTACTTAGGCCTCCCTCTCTACTTCATTTTTATCGAATCTGAATTTGATTAGCGCTTTGTAATTAATCACAGCTGGCCTTAAGTAGGAAGAAGTTCGTCTTGAACTTTGTATTTCAGAAAAATCTTAAAAACACACACAAAAAAAACTTTATTTCATGAGATAGATTCACACTGCTACACTATCGCAGACAGTTTTCATTTTAAGCATGGCATCAGATGTTAAGGCCGTGATATTTGACAAAAATAAGTGTTTTTGCGTGGCTGAAATGACAGCTGTCTTTTTCAGATTTGATCAGCCATGGCTGGATAATTAAAGAAGGCTAATGATGGCATCCCAGTTAAATGTTTCCAGCTGTAAGGGCAAGAACACTCTGGTAGTTAAATCTTTAGCATCTATCAGTAGATCTTGTGACAGCATTATAACCATGACCTCAACATGTTTAGAAAGCCAAAGCCTGATCAACCCTTTTGGCCCATTCACCCTAAGTCATGAAATATATCTGGTACTAGAGCAGTACAAAAAGCATGTGTGTTCGGGCATGTTCATGTGAGGTTTGGTAAATTGCATGTGCTCCACATATGAGGCTGTGCAGGTAGTCTTTTAATAGAAAAAAGAAAAAGAAAAAGGAATGTCAGATCAAAATTCCATAAAACATTGAACTCCTCTCTCTCATGCAGTACTTTTAGTGGACACATTCTTAAACGTTCAGTTTGGGCCAGAAACTCCTCATCTAACACCTTTGGCCAAATCACCTTTTAGTGGACATCTGACACCACTCCTATTTCACCTCCCAGCTCCCTTAATGTGTGATCTGGAAATGAGAAAACTATGTTGCGGTGTCAGCTGTCTATCAGGTGAGAATAATTCCACCACATGCTGAGTTCAAGGACTATGGGAAAACCAAAGAAATCAAAGATATAAAGTTACCTTTTTTAGCATTATGACCAACACTGCAGGTTTTTGTTACTATTTTGAATCAAGTCTAAAGGTTCAGGATGATTTTGGAATAAATACATGTTCCCTGGTGCAGAGGCTCATGAATACTGGTTGAACGTGTAAGAGTTCAGAAACCTGTCGAAAAAGAACGATCTGACAGGGAAGACAAGACAGCACAATCAGCATTTGTGTGTGTGTGTGTGTGTATGTGCTGAGTGTGTGTTTAATGAGAGGGCTGGAGGTCTTAGTCTTGCTTGTAAACAGGCCAGTAAATGTAACTAACTACTTCCTCCATCATCCAGCCAAAACCGCAGATGCCATATGAGTCTGTGTTGTATTTCAAAGTGATGTTCCTGTCTAGCAACACATAGGCTCCTCATATAGTTGGGAGGTCCAAGCTTTGCTTTTCGTTCTTTAGATAGGCTATCAAACTTTAGATGTGTCTTTTTCTGAGACAGTCGGTCAATAGATGTACAGCCTCCAGTCAGTCACAAGAAAGAAAACTAACAAAAATAAAACAGAATTTAGGAAATTATTGCTAACGAGAAAAACCAGAAAGCTGCTAAAACCTGGTAACACAGAGGGCTGATTCAGTGTCACAAATGTGGAAAAGCACAAACTCAAAGAACTCGCAGCTTTTTCTCTTGGTCCTGCAGAGTATTCTTCAGCCAAGCTATGTTTTGCCAAACTGTGATGATAATATGCAGTCTCACAGCAGGAGGTGGCCTCACTGAAGAACTGTGAGAAACCCAGTCCAAGACCCCACCGGCCGCTGTCATCTGATCACTAACATCCACAAGTTCACAAGTCAAATTCATTGCTGAATCCTTGAATTTTTACCTTGTGAAATAATGGTTGAATCCACCTAATCTGAAGCTGCTTCGGCTCTGCACATGTTATATGGCCTGAAAAAAACAGCTGCTCCAGCATGGCCGTTGGACAGAGCTCACATGGTTGGGATGAACTGCAAGGTTGGCAACAAACCAGACTTCATCACTCAGTTTTAGTGCTGTCTTTAGTCTGAATGGGAGGAAATCCTTACAACAGGTTGGATAATCTTTTGCATAATACCACAGTCAGTAACATTTTGCTGTCAGTGAAGCAGTCCATGACACTTTTTTTTTCCCCCAGTTCATTTTCTGCGGATGGAAACAAAAGCTCAGCTGAGCAAAAGCTGCAGGTTCAGTGAGGAAGGAGACTCTTGGCCTCAGCTTTAACCACACAAACATTTCAGCTAAAATAATAGAAAGATAATCAGATTAATGTCAAACACGGTCAAGTGTTTCTTTTTGGCTCAACATTGTTAAATTGATACGTTTGTGACAAATGTATCACGCACATATTGCTGGGTGATGCAGTGAGGAACCATAATTACACAAACACATAGAAGAGGAAGAGTCACACTGCACAGGGAGTGGAAAGAAAACCAGGAAAACATAAAAAAAAAGACATCTGTAGACCTAATCACATCGCATTTCGTGCAAAGAAAAAAGTGACAACAATTATTATAACTACCAGTTAAGAGAGAAGTAATAATCCAGTTATAACCAATAGTGCTATAAATCAACTGATGTAAAGTCCAACATAGGATTTTGACTCGTTGGAGTTTTTAGTTGTGTTTAAAAAAAACTCTCTGCCATTTACTCAATTACTTATTTATGTAAAATCATAGTTTCAAATTGTGTATATTTATGGATGTTTTGGAAAATTTTTAAATGTAAGTGTAACCAAAAGTTATGATGGCATCCCTGTTGGGAAAAACAAAACGATAACTCAAACCACTTCAGCATGGTCTTAGGGATATTCAGTCTATATTTATGCTGTACATATCTATTCTGCATGTAAAATCCCTTTTACAGTTTAATGCTCAGTTAAAAGTCACACACAAACATCACATGGGTGTGAAAACATACCAGTTTAATGAGGGGTATGGCCCAAAGAGACAGCTCTGTTCCCCACTTTGAAAAAACAATATTTGCCTGTTATCTCTGGGGTCTCTGCCTTTTTTCCACAGTGGACAGCAGTTTCATGCTGACAGTAGTCTTGCAGAATGTATGTAGCATACTAGTGTAGAACTCATTATCTAAGCCATCAAAGAATTAGGGAGATCTCGCTTTTTTTCCGTAGCTAGAAGCTCCCGTTGAGTTATAAAGGTTGACAGCATGTGCTTGTGAAACAGATAATAGCAAGACATGGACATTGTAACACCTGTGTCACCCATAAACACTTGGTATTTGTTGTTATTTATCTATTTCAAGGTCATGAATTTTCATGAAATTTTTCATTTATTTTAGCAAACAAAAGCCACAGCATTTCTTTATTCTTATTCTGTTGTTTGGGACCATTTTACAGCTTTATAGATGGAATGACAGAAAGTTACCCACCTGATGATGCGATAAAATAATGAAAGGAAAGTATGAAAGTATGACATTTCATTGCTTCACACAGAATTACACTCAGTTTGCTGACATTAAACGAGTGCCACACCATAAAGTCTGTTTTTAGGCTGTTCAAAATTAAACGTTTTTCCATAATAAAGTTAAAGATGCAAAGTTATACCACCAAAACTATTTATTATGCTTTACACATTTTTGACAACTGTGATGAACAAATGATGCACTCTTGTGCAGGGTAAAAATACCAAAGTATGATATTATGCGAGGTGTGTGTCCGTGTGTGAGTGTGTGTATCTGTGGGCAGACGGATGTCATATCTGAGTCTTCTAGGCTCTGAAGCCCCTTATATTGCTACTATGGGACTACAGGGAGCTTCAAGGCAGATTGTTTTGATGAGTGGTTTCCAAGGTTGAGTTTATTTCAAGAGAAATAGCCAGAACTTTAATGATTCCACCAGCCGTAGTTTTATTCAGAATTCAAATGGCTGTAAAAGATAATCCCCTTGACAATTAAAACGTAATACTGACTATATGCATGTCATAACTCATAATTTAAGATTGAAACAAAAAAATGGTCAAAAAACAATATAACACCTTAGTTCCATTTTAACCCATTCTGCATCATTCTAAACTGAGCGAGTCAGTATTTTGGGATGTAAATCAATAACGTGCAGGCAGACTGTGAATTCTGAAAAGCTGTTGGATCTACGGTCCATCCCTCTTGAAGGTAAACCCAGGACCACCAGAAGTTTCTGAGAATTTACATCTGCATCTTCTCACTGGAGAAGATGCAAAAAGTTGAAAAGACTTAATAATTTGACCAGCTCTCACTAAAAGTGCAGCTTAGAGTTTTGTTGTCTGATGGAAGTCCCCTATACGAATAGAGTAATGCTTTAAATGTATAAGACATAGTTTGTTTTCATTTCTTTTCATTGTCCTGTCCAACATTGTAGCAAGTACAAAAAAACCTCCATGCAAAAAATGGGGAAAGACAATCTACAAAATCAGCACATTGACAACAGGAGACTTTTGTATCCCAAATAATTTAATACGATGTGACTCTTTTTCAAATTATGCATAACAAGTTAAATACTCTTTTTTTCTGTAGGGGAGAAAAAAATGTATGCGCTTTTTTACTGTAGGAAAACATCACCTGTGGTCCAATCCACCTGCCCTTCAAATGTCATGTTCCTCAGGCATGGCATGTTCCTCAGAGCCATGTAGCTCGTACTGTGTTTACAAAGTCCAGGCAGCAATATGGAAGCAATGAAACTTTTCCTTGTGCTTGTCCTCCTTCACCATGACTTCATGGGTACTCAGCAGACAGCTGGCTGGCCATCACTGGAACAAGCTTATGCAAACTCTTATGATTAATGCTTGTCTTTAAAAGAAACTTTGTGTGAGTCTCCTTTCCTGGTAGAAATGAACCCAGACGTGGTACGATCCAATCAGACCATCAGACACGCTCGCGGCATTGGTTAGACATGGTGTCACTTGGAAAATATGGCAGTGGATTTGGTGCGCAGTGCACAGCATATGCAGAGCCTTGTGGTGTCGAGGGCCGAACGAAATAGTTGAATTCCGTTTGGATTTAGGCAATGTGTACAAGGAGTGTTTTGTTTATCCTGACCCGTTCCATTTATCTATAAATTCATCATGCCCCGACATATTTTTTGTCTTGTGCTGGATTATAACAGTCATCTGCACAACAAATAATCCAGTAAATTTCCCACTTAACTTGAACAGTTTTTCTCAACATTTTTGACAAACTTCATCTCTCTATACAAATTAAAATGACACCAGCAATCACCTCCTCCACCATAACGGATTTTGAGATTGTGGTATGCAGCTTAATAGGATGCAGACCGCAGAAACAAATGACTGACAATAAAAGTTAATCTCCCAAATCTCTTTATGGATCAACATAAAAAGACATATGTTGGGCTGTAATTTAACTCTCACATTGTTAGAGTCTGCACTCCCATTGCTTCCACAACACTAATCACACGGCCTCAAGTGTGGATTTCTCATTAATGGCTAAATGCATTTGCTGCTTGTTTCTTTTTATCTGCCAAAGTCGCAGCCAGACTCTTTCAACGCATTTCAGGGGTCTTCAAATGTGTTATGCTGACCTCCAAGAGTTTCCACACATTGAGGTTTGGGTGGAGGTGCAGTTCAAAGAGTTATAGAGGTGCTTGTAAAGTAAGTACACTGTGTTTCCTCAAATCTGAAACTTTGGACCCATCCATTGGATAGGTAAATGACAAAAGAAAACCAAAACAAACCTTTGTGATTTTCTGATACTACGGTCAGAACATTTTCATTTAACTTTTGGGCTGCATGCATCGACTGGTGTGCCAGTTCCAGACGGCCCAGCTAAATGAACAAGTGTGTCTCATGGGAAATGTACTAAATTATGCCACTCAGACATGTTCAGAGCTCATGATCCATCGAAGACTGAGATGATTTTCTCTTCAGGAAAAACACACAATCATACAACTCTATAAAGGAGAACTGGACACTGATGGGACGATAAAATGTTGTCATCACTAATTTGCATTACTATAAAACAAAGCATTATGTTTCAGGATGGTGTTCATGCTTTTGCATCTTGTAATAATTTGCTTTCATTTTAATACCTTGCAGTTTTTTTTTAAACTGAGGATAGAATGAAATAGAGCCGTCAAGTGAGGTTTCAATGTTTATTGTCAAGCTTTTTGAGTTCACAAATAATGAGCTCAATGACAGAAACAATTGGTTTTCAGTCCTGATCTACTTTCCAGCACCAGGTGGGATGGGAAGGGTACATACAGTACTTGCATTCAAAGAATGCTCAGAGGGTGAAGTCAAACGTAAATTGACTGCAGCACTCGCAGGCAGTAAACCCAGTCAGGGGGCAGCTGGTTGTAGCTCATTTTGTTTCCATCCAGCCGTAGAATCTTCATTCTGGAGTAGGACAGAAGTCCCACCTCTCTGCAGAAACTGGTCACGTTGAACTCTGTGGGGAACAGACACAAAGCAGACAGGATATTTAAAACAGGTATTTAGTTTTGGAGACCTATTATTCAAGAAGGTGACAGTCGGTGTCCTGTTCACACATTGTTGATACCACTCCAAAGAGCTAAGATTTCACGCCATGGCTCATGTGTTTATGACATGTAAGGTTATGAGGGTGAAGCACCTCGTCATATTAACACAAAGCAGCTTTGTTCAGTTTACAAATACCCATTTTCTATTCACAAGGTCTGCATTTGCCATTAGGTGACTTGCAGGTTCTACGGTAAAAACGGAGGAATAGGAAATCGTATTTTATTTTATTTTTGTTTTTTTACTTTCGGGCAGTCAGAAGTTTCTTTCAGCCCACAGTGTTGGCTTTGGCAGGAACCACAGTACGTAGATCTTGAGTTACTTTCTAGACGATGAGGTGGGTTTCTTGTGGGACTGTTTTGATGTCTGTCTGTTTCATTAGTACACGATTCCCCCTCAACCCCCCAAACACCAGCCCTGTCTGCTGTGAAACAGGAGCCTTTTCTAACTTTGCCAGATCCAAAACTGCACCCTAGGTCACTACTGTGAGGTGGTGAGGTGAGTCACAGTTTGGCTCCAGCAGGAGAGCGATAGAGAGAGAGTGGTAGAAGTTACCGTGAAGGGGAGTAGACAGACAGAGAAGGGAACAGTGAGACCGAAGAGGGGAACAGCATGTGCTTCTAGCTCATCTGGGGCTCTTACCTCTGAATCCGTCACAGATGTTCTCATACCTCTCTCCCTGCCTCTTTGCTAACAGACTTTACCAGCATCCAACCAGCCAATATCTTCTCCGCTTTCTTTCCTCCCCCCTCCTCTCTTTTCTGCGATCTCCATGTATTTTTTTCAGACCCTTCACTGACTTGTCTCACCAACTTGAACTCCTCCCATGTCCATACACACACTTAAAGGCTGGCCGTGTTGAAAGAGACCAGGGTGGGAACACTTTTTGTGATATTTTCCACATCTCTTTCTTTCCATCACAGCAGGCTTTGACTTCAACCATTCAGCCAGTTGACTCACTAAAACATGTGTATGCATGCATAAGTAGGTCAATAACACCCATGCATTATACATTTGAGATCAAATGTTTGTGTGTGTTATTGCTTTTTTAAAGCTAAGATGCATTCACCTTGGATTTCATTAGCCTCCAGGTAGAGGTACTGCAGTGAGGTGGGGACCCTGGGAATGGTGGTCAGTTTGTTGTAAGAGAGGTCCAGCTCCACCAGGCTGGTATGATTAAAAGCATGCAGGTGGATGCCACGACTCTGCAGACCACAGTGACTTAGACGCAAATACTTAAGGTTGAGAAAGCCATCAAAGCTGTCCTCATCCAGCCCAGAGAGAGAGTTGTTTGACAGATACAACTGCTGGACAGAGGGAGGCAGATGCCTGGGGACAGTGGAAAACCTATTTCCACTCAGGTCCAACAGGTTCAGACTGACCAGACCTATAAGGAAAGAGAAGACGGTTCACTAGGTAATCCTGACAGGTGTTTGAAAGTAGAAAGTCAGTGTTGATATTTGCATTGTCAGACAGTCAATGGATGAAAAAGCCTTTTTTACTTTGCAGATTGTGTTGTCACATGTGTGGGATAAGATCATAAATATACCAGGCATATATCAAGTTTCTGATAAAGCAGAAATTACTTATACAGTTCATAAATGGTTTTTACACTTGACAAATATGGTTTGTTGTCTTTAAACTTTATATTTGCAGAGCAAGGAAATCCAAAACCAAAAATAAAAAATAAAATTCATCAAATTGACCAGGGCTTTGTACATAAGACTCGAATATTAACATCTAGATTGATTGTTCGTCTGTAGATAACTAACCAAATTTGAATATCCTGGAAACCATGAAGTAGAATATCACAATGGATTGTCTTTTGCATGTGCAAAGAAAAAAACAATATAACAAACAACCTTTAAGATCTCCCTGGGCGATGGTTTGCAGCCTGTTTCCCTGCAGCAGCAGCAGTGTCAGGTTGTGCAGGTTTTGGAGAGCTCCTTTGCCAATGCTGGTGATGTTGTTGTGTGCTAGTCGCAGCTGTCTGAGTCCATCTGGTAGCGCACTGGGTACTGAAGTCAGATGGTTTTGGTTTGCAAACAAGTAGTGCAGTTTGGTCTGGTTTTGCAGTGAGGCCTGCTCCAGCTTGTCGCTCTGCAGCTGGTTGTTATCCAGGATGAGCCAGCGAAGTCCAGTTATATTGGCCAACACAGAGGAGGGCAGACTTGAGATATTGTTACCCTGGGAACAATAGCAAGCAGTGAGCTCTGTGAAAAACATGCAGTGTGAACAAGAACTTAAAAACCATGTTGGGTTAGTGGCAGACCACTGTTAAAACAACGAACCGTGCCTTTCCTACCTGTAAAAACAAGTACTCGGTTCTATCTGGCAGCTCGTCAGGGATGTGTTCCAGGCCTTTGTGGTCACAGTAGACTGATGTGGGCCAATGAATGGGACAATCACACTGCTTAGGGCAGGCCTGGGGGTTGTTAGCACGGAACCATCCAGGATCTATCCTTCCCTGAAGACTCAGTACACTGGGCTCACCCAACAGCCTGTTAATCCACAGAGGAACTCCTCCATAGTCCATGTCTGCGATTGAAGTTGCATCAGAACCACCAAGCAATAACAGCATTCCACAGAACAGGAGAGCCATTGCCACAACCAGAGATCCTGCAAATTACAAGTCAGAATAATTAGAACTCCAAAGACTTTGCATTGGAGCTATGATGGATTTTGATGTGAACAAATTCCTATGAGGCTCTCTACAATGCTGGTGGTGCCTGGAAGCCATGATAGTCATGATAACCCTTGGGGTTGATTGTCTATGATGAAGGGATTTAACGGGAAGGCAGAGTGTAAACAAGGTAAGGAGCTGCATTGGGGGCGGCATAAGATGAAAGAATGTGAGGGCTAACTCATGAACAAGACATTCAACTTCATCAGTGAAACTGGGTAAATACTAATAGTAGAGGGCAGAAAGACAAAGCCACTGTCACCTCACAAAACTAGTATTGGGCCTGAACTGAATTGTTTTTTACATGCCCAAAAAACAGAATTCAATTTCACAGCACTTCATATCCAAAAGGATCACCAGTTTTAATAATACTGATTACATGAATGACCCATTAAATTATATAAGTACAAACAATTTGTAACCATTTTTTAATTTAGTTGCTTGCAGGTTGAAGTTAATTGGTACCTCAAAAGTGTGGTGATTTTCTTTAGCAAATATTCATTACTGCCAGGCAATTGAATTATGGAAATATTATTAATAGCAATGCTATATTTCATGGCTGCAGCCTAATTTTTACTGACTGAAATATTCCCACTTCAGGACTACCTAGCTTATAGTATATTATGAGACATGGTGGCAAACGATAACTTGACTGACTGGTGGAGTGGTGGTATGTAATCATGTGTAAGTACATTTGCACAGTGTAAATCAGTTGGATGAGTGCTTGGCTGGCTCTCGGGCGATAGATGTTAAAATATTTATGTACAACACTACCATAATGAGCATGTTGAACATGTGAGTTTAAGCCCTATTTCAGTGCACAGCCCTGAGGAACCACAGCCATGGCTGTTAATAATTAGTCCTGTTTAAGATGCCCCTCTGAATTGCCGCATCTCAATATTTCGGGGAAAGATTTTTTAAAACTCAAGAAATATTAACTTTAAGGAACCAAACACCTTCATTTTCAATGTAAGCAAGTTGTTATCCATCTGATAGTTTGGAATCGAAACAAATAATCTGAATGAGAAAAAGACTGAAAACCAGGTTGCACTGTTTTGAAATGCAACAGAGACATAGTTATACTCTAAAGTTCAAATACAAACAAAAAGACAAATTGTTCTGTTTAACATGTCAATGTGGAAGTAAAGTTGGAAATATCAGGGAGTTTTCCTTGATCAACTTGTTTGCAATACTGTATTTTTCCTGAATATATTACAGCTGCCATGAAGCGCATGCTCCGAACGTTGCCAGGAGGATTACTATTATACTGTTACTGTTACAAGACAAGTTCACACGCTAGATATGATCTGTTCCAGTTTTGCCTGCCTTTAGACAAAGAGGAAATGAAGGCAGACAAGTAACCAACAGTAAGCTGACACTTACCTGTTTGATCACCAGCTACAGAAAGAAGACAGGTTGTTTTAAAATCCCCAATGAATCCCTCGAGACCTGTATGGGTGTGTGTGTATGTCACTGTATCTGCATGTGTGTTTGCAAGTGTGTGTTTTTGAGCAACCAGTGATGTTTGCCCACTGTCTGATGCATTCCTCCTCTTCAAACACTGCCCACATCCCAGACACCAGACCTCCTCCATAATTTTCCTTTACTAACTTCTTCCTTTCCCCCTCTCTTAGCCCAGGGTAAGAGTTTTAATAGTGCATCATTTAGTGAAACTGCTAATGGTATTTGCATGCACCTATGACAAATAAAAGAAAGGAAGTCACTAGTAGCACTGAAAGGTTCCAGTGTTTTTTATTATATATATATATATATTATATATATACATTTTTTTTATATTTAACTTTATACATGTATACATACATATATATGTATACATATGTATATATTTACATATATATATATAGTATATTTATATATACATATATGAATATATATATATATTAATATATATTTTATTAGATATATATTATATAAATAAAAAAAATTATATTTAACTTTATACATGTGTACATGTGTGTGTGTGTGTGTATATATATAAATACATAGAGTGCATGTCTACCTGTGTGCCTCTGTGAGGAGAAGTGGGAGTCTACAGCACTGTATGTGCTCTGCCTGGAGACATTCTAGCCACAAAGTACCTGGGGAGCCAAAGAGACCATTCTTTGTGTTTAAGCGTGTATCTGTGTGTGGTTTGGTGCATGTTTGCGCGTGTGTGTGTGTTAAAAGAAGGAACTTCTTGCAAGCATCTGTGCAAATGAGAGTAAAGCGATTCCAGATTCCTCCCCAAATATGAGGGGAGTGTTGCGAGAAAGAAGAAAATTAGAGAACAAAAACAGAGCTCCCTCTAGAAGAACTACACTGAAGCACGCTGAAGGCAAAGTTTTGAGCAAGCACTTCCTTTTCAGTATGTTAATAAAAAATCTTTTAAAGGACATATGGACTAGTTGCACCACAGCACTTCCCCCTGCGGATGTATAGTTTGAATTTCTCTGGGATTTTCAGTGTGTTTTTTACCTTAAGTTTCGTGTAAGTATACAGCAGACTCTGTAATGTACAGGCATGTGGTTCAGGTACATACTTTGGATTACAAAGTGGAGAAACAAAAGTATGTGAGACTAAAAAGTGCTTATTCGTGCTGACAGTGATGGCAGGGAAATGTTATTCTTTCCCCTTTCACTTTATATCTGTCTACACGTGTTATCCTGTGAGTAAACAGAATGGGGTTTGCCATCTTATGCACTGTATAAAGTTTAAAACTCAGATCAGTAGTGGATGAGACTAAACACTTTCAGTATGTGGCCACATTTGACAAGCTGCTTCTGCTCACCAAACCGGTTCACAGCTGGCTTGAGCAGTACATTTCTGCTCAGGGGGAAATATACTTACACCTTATGAGTTATAGAAAAAAAACAATCTCAAAGTCCAAAGAATAATGAACCAACTGATCTCTAATCTGAGACATGAAGACTGAAACTTTTGCATTTGCAACATTACTTATGTAGAGGTACAAGTTCGTAAGGCATCATATGTCAATCTGGGGACATGTAAAAACTGCTTAATAGACAGTTGAAACTTTCTTAGAACAATAGCCTCTTAATCTGGACTAAATTAAAGATATAATTAGGGAGAAGTGGTCACCAGGTCACTGAACATATTCAGAGATAATAAACCAGACTGGATAGGTTCCATGGGAAAACTCATTAGATGATTGTGTTAGATTTCAGATAAAAAGGACGATTATAAAAAAAAACCGCATTTTACAGCTGGGAGGAGAGAGATAAGAGGACTTAGCTCAGCACATATGCACTCACAATAATGATTATCCAATTTCGAAAATCTGTCAGCAGATTGCATGAAAAATATATTAGCAAATAAGGTTTTAGCATTTTAGACAAGAGAGGATTTTTTCCCCTGTGAGAGACAAATCAAATTCAAATGACTGTAATGTCAAATTAAACTAGCAAATAGCGCCAAATCAGAACAATGTCATCTCAATGTCCCTTAAAGATCCAGTTCAAATTAGATTAATCCCCTCAAATTAAGTAGATACCAACGTGGTCTCCTTACAAAAAAAACCCTGAAAAGATTGCATCTCGATCCAGTTCCCAATCTTAAGCATGCAGAGAAACCTCTGGCAAAAATAGGTTTACGGATCCACCATATCCAGCTGAATTGAACTGTACTCATGGAAAATGACAAAAAGTGCATCACTTAGTTAGTAGCTTATGTGGAACAAAGGTTTGGAGTGATTTTTTCCAACCAGATGAGAAAAACAAGCAAATAGAATAACTTTAGCCTCAAACCTTTTTATGTGATTACATGTAATGATTAAAGCTTTATTGTTATGATTCTACCACCACAACATAGCACCTTACTTGTCAAAACTGAAAACTGATGCTATCTAAAATGTTTTGATTATCATCAAGCTTTTCTGTCGCCACACAACACACAAAATTCCTATCTGACTTAACTTCTGAGAAAGATACGTCATGGCACAAAGATAAACACGTTTGTTGCTTTCTAGAATGCATTTCTTGTTCATCTCTGGGAATGACATCTGGTAAACATAATTTCTGCTCAGCAGCAGTCAACTCTTCCTGAAAACTTTAAACCTGTTTGGGTACCGGATTTCATCTTAGGTATTGTGGCAGTATGCCAAATATAACCGAGTTACATTCGTAAACTTATGACATTAGAAAGTTCAAAGTACAGTCTAAAATCTTAATAATTTCAATTCAGGATCCACACTTCTCCTTTTAGAACTGTTTATTGGAAATAAAGGATTACAGAACATAACATTAACCAAAAGGCTTTTAATTCTGTAGATTTCACGTAGACTTAACCCACTATCCAGGAAGTGTTTGCCTCCACTAACAGAATTGCTTTTAAGCAAACTTTAAGTCAGAAGAAGGCACAGGGAGATACATTGAAATTATTAAATGAAAGCTATGACTGGCCTTGATTTTAAAGAAGACAGTGTGTGACATTATTTTGGAGAGATCTCTTTGGTCGTGGGTTGTGGTCTTTTTGCATTTAGCTTGCTTCCCACAAATCCCATCAGACTGATATATGGGATGTGTGAGGTAAAGTAAACCTCAGATTATTTTTTGTGGTCTTTGAGGCCCTCTTTAGCATTTTTGGGTCCTGCTGAAGGACCATGTGGGTTTGTGCAACATAGGGAATGGGACTCTTGTGCACCGTTGTTTAGGGTGGTGCCAAAAACATCTAAGCAGGCCAGTGCTGATGTCTGGATGCAAATGTACCCAGCAGAACATTGTATTGTAACAAGATGAGAATGATAAGTTTAGAAATCAACATAGTTTCACATTGAATGTTCAAATTATTATTTTACCAACAGAAAGTGAGTCTGCAGAAAGTAAATGTGTTTCTTTGATCATGTCCTCCTCTGATGATCTCCATCATGGTGCTAAACCCCGCTGCTCAGTTTTTTCTATCACTTACACTAGATGGCACTATCTTATCATAAATAATCAGCAAAGCGATGCATTGTTACAACAAGGATGCTGATAAAACCCAGAAGTATGTATGTGTGGCATTTCTAAATATGATGTCTGATTATCACTTAACAAGAAAAAGTTTACAAGAAAGTGATCGTTACCAGAACAGGATTCCTTTTGGAACCAATAGCCCTTATGAAATTCACTTGATGATCACTATCCCTTTGATGGTTGCTAACTGTAAAGCCTATAAATGAAAAAATGGTCACGTTCTCCCAAGCTGAATTTAGCTACAAACTGTTGATAGAATATAAACACACAAAGAGCATCTGCTTGTGTCCATATGAGAAAAAGATGGAAAGCTCGATGTGGTGTAATCTTGAACATCTGTGTGTGATCTGTGTTGATGTGTGCACACATGGACATCTGCTTCCTATTGCATGGTTTTGCTGCCCCTGTGCCCTGGAGTGCCATGGTTCAAATTACCTTAAGGAGCCGCATTGTCCGAGCACCATTAAGACCATCGTCCCTCAAAATTCTTTTAATTCTGCTATGCTAACACGTGTTTCATTGATATTTTCAAGGACAGTGTGAACATCTGTGGGAGGAAAGGTTAGATATGCAAAGAGAGAACATGTGAGGCGTAGAATTAATAAGAGGCTCAATTATTTTTCAAAAGCACTGTTTGGTAGTTGCAGGGTGGATCTTTGTATAAATTACCCTGTGGAGGTAAAAGTCTGGCTCGCTGTTAGCTGTTAGTTTGGATCAGGATCAGAGCTGGCTTGAGATGTGAAGGCACTGGTTATGATTAGAGATGTTACCCTGGAAATGAAAGAAATATGATGGACAAACTTTGTCATAGAAAAACTGCCACAGCTCATGACTGACCTGCTGCCACCACTGTGAATCCTATCTTCATATTTCTTTTTATCATGCCTTGTATGAATTGCTTTTTTAGTCCTCTGTCTTTTAAAAACTAGCAGAACCTTTTGATCAACATCACATCTGAAATATAAGCAGAACCTTGTGCTATTTTTCTGCAAATATAAAAGGCACATGACTCATGTGCTGGCCCCTCACATACAACATGAATTTATTTTAGGACAGTTTTAGTGCGAGGGGTTTCCAAAAAGATGTGTCTTTGTTCCAATGACCTGATGACTCGCTGGATATGACAACGTATTGAGAATCTACAGACTGGTACAGTCTGTGAAAGGTTCTTAGCTGAAAGGGTTGGGTGAACCTCTAAACCCATGCTATTGACCCAGGTAATAGACAGGAAAAACGGATATGAGTGGGGGAGGGATGTGTTGAGACTACTCAAAGACTACTTAAGCATCTTGCTTTGATGTGCACCAAACAGTTATCTCTGGTTAAATTTGAATTGCTGCACACTCTGCGTTTGACTCCTTAACTTTTCTTTAAGTTCTTCATATATCCACATCTTAACTATCTGTCACACTCACAACAAGTTTATCTATTTGACCATCTCATAAAACAGAACTTTGATGGTTTATTGAGGGAGCAGCTGACCTTTAAGCCTCATGGGGCAGTCAGCCGTCAGTAATGAGTAAAGGGTCCCAGCTCACCACGGTTCATTTGACAGGCACTGAACACTCACAGAGACATCACATCTGATCTTCTCAGAACGTTGCCAGAGCGAGTAGCTCTTCCTGTACCCTTTAAACTCACACTGAAATATAGAATATGAGTTTAATGGTGTTTTGCATAAATGTGCCGAGGACTGACAGATCCCTTCTGTTGCATCTGGCATCCACAGACGCCTGCGGACACAAAGAAAAATGTCCTCTGCACTTCCCCATTTCAACTATGCAATGCGCCATCTGACTCTTCCTACCCTTTTTCTTTTTTATAATGTAGAAAAGCCTTTCACTGTAAGACACTGGAGAAAACGTCTACACCAAGACACAACCAACTTGAAAAAAGTGCAAGCCAGCAGACTTTTCCTTTGTTTTTTCCTCATATATATTTTATCATTGACAAGGACTGACAGAACTGTTAACAATCACAGATGTAGGTCTTTGGCAAGTGTGTAAAAGCTTCGTCATTCCTGTAGAAAAATAGCCCAATAATTCTTTACTTTAAGGGTGAGATGTATACCCCATTACCACACCAAAAAATTAAAAGACAGACCCAGAGGTCTTGCTCATTTACACTCCCAATCCAAAGAGTGGCAACTGAAGAAATAAGATGCTTTACTTCCAATATCAAGTAAGTGGATAACTGTTATGTCTCAGTCTCTGAATTTATCAGCGGCATTCTGCAGTTTATCAGCTTCTGATATGTACTCTGGTGACTCCAGTACATAATATGTTTATTTAATGGTCTTCTTTTGAATGCGGTTTTCCTAACCTAAACCAAGGAGTAATGCTGCCAAATCCTATGAGCACCAACAGTAAGAAAGAAACCAATATAAAGCATTAGGATCAAGCTAAAATAAAACTAGTTTACCCAATCAGGTTCTTTATACTGAACATTGATATCCTAAAGGGCCGGCTTGGTCATAACCAACAAAATGAGTTTCCACGTATTTATTTACCAGCTAGTCATCAAATGTTCCATTATACAATTACCGTACAAGGACAGAGTGAGACAAAAATAATACAAAAAATATTTTAAAGAAATATTGAGGATAGGAACAATAAATTGGCGCAAGTTAAATAAATCTTCTAATCTTCACCAGGAGGCCTTTATGGATGCCACTGATAGCATTTGGTCAAAATGAGAACATTACATTGAGGCTGGTAACTGGCCTTTCATTTCAGGACCAGATGGTGTTCCAGAAAGAAAAGTAAAGATTGTTATGGTCTTTTGTGTTGTCTTGTGTACATGTCTATGACACAGGAATGACTGACATTGCCAAGCTTTATGTGCCATCCAGCACATGGCATGGATTTTTCTCTTCCTGTTTGTAGCAGTGATTTTTTGGGTTAGCATCAAATCCACAAAGAAACCACTGTCATTTTTTACACCACAGTTATGGAGGGTTTTCACACATCATAGAATGTATTTGTTTTCCTTGGAAATGTATTTCCACAAACACGTAAGGCCTCTGACATGACAGAAAATTGCCTTAACAAAATGAAAAAAAGACATATGCTGAAACAGTCTAAATAGATTTGAAACCATAAAACTGGTAAAATGAAAGACAAAAGTTGGCTAAAAAAAATGACATGTCCAGATGGAGCAGTTGGAAAGAGGATTGAGGGGCAGGAAGAGGCCCACACCAAGACCAGACAGACATCATGAGAAGACTCTCACACATGTTTTCATTTAACTCTTTACAAGATGTAAGATTGTTGAAGAAGACTGGAGCAAGCTGGATCCACCCAAATAACGTACTGCCCACAGATGTATGGGAATACTATACATGATTTAATGTCTCTGATTATATAGGTACAAATAGCATTGTTTCCCAGGTTCTTAAATGGGGCACTAAAGAAGATAAGGGGAAAATGTGCTCACTGTGTAATAATTCTAAAAAGAAAAACATTACAAGGCATTCTTGTGTTCTTCCCTAAATATGATGTAGTTGCATATTTGTGCTCACAGCTCCAAACTGACAAAGCTTTTCTTGTGCTCCCTTATCTGTGTTACAAACTCCTGCAATGCATCGATAGTTTTAATGATGAAGTCTCATTTATCCATTATTTTGGCTTGTTTGACTCAGTGACCTGTAAAAAGGGTGGCATCATTTCTGTTGTTTTTGCTTTTATTCTATGATGTCATTTTTGCATAACATATATGATTTATCATCAACAGCTGAATCTGCTTTTTACCATACTAAACAGTACAAGTTGTCAACATAATTGATAAAAAGTGTGTGGTGTACTACAACCCTCTAATTACAGAGATGTCAGTGGTATGTCATTAGGATGTACACAGAGGCTTGTTAGCTAATTTAGTTGAGTTCTTGGCTGAATATTTTAGGTTTGTAAACCACGATGATCTTTTACATAAGTATTACGAAAGCAGGCAAAACTTTGTATCTGTTAAGTCCAAATTGGTTGGACATTTTTGGAATGTTTGACACCGGAAAAAATCTGGTAAATGCAAACATAATACAATGCTATCTTTCTCCTTTTTCTCTAAAATACCCAATTAGTCCTCATTTAGTTCTTCACTCCGCATGACCTGTCCTATTCTATAGCTGATAGATTGGAACAGTCTCTCACACCTCTTGCATCTCAGATTGTTCACATGTCGGGGTTCCGTTGGCCACTCCTGAAAAAACACAGTGGGGTGCAGGGGATTGGATGAGGGGGTGGGGGTAACCAGCTCCAGCAGAAAAGACCAAGAGGTGGAGTGAGGGCTGGCAAAAGGAAACGGAGAGCAGGGACTAAAGGAAAGTTTTTACAAAGTGTCTGTCAGAGTACCCTCTGGTCCCGGGTACACTCAGAGACAAGGGATAAGGAGGGTCAGTCTCTTTAATCAGGTAAGATTGTGTGTACATGCATGTGTGTGAGCATGTGTTTGTTTTGTGATTAATGTAGTCAGTTATAGTTGGTTCACTGCTGATTTTTATCAAGAGCAGATTTTAATATAAATGGTGGAAACTAGCACACATAAATCATTGTTTAATTGTATGAGCTGTTGCAGAAAATATTTTAAACGCACTACAAGACATGGAAACAAATAAAAAACAGAACAACAGAATTGTTCTGGAATAAAACTAGAACAGCCTGCATAATACACATGGATAATCAATAAATTACACAAACCGGGCAACAATTTTGGAGTATCTTAACCTCATAAACAGTGGAAAAATCATTCGGAAAAGTCCAGCTCCAGGTTTTTTCATTTCCTTCTTCCTAACCTCCCTGCGGATTAAGACTGCTGAGAATGTGCCTTTCTACTGCCAGTTCCAAAACAAAGTCACCACCTCTGACTGTTCGTTTAGCTTCGACTGGAGACCAGTAAAAGTCAGGTCTAGCCTTGCAGGAAAAACATTCATAAAGAATAATGGTTTGTTCTTAAGCTCCATGTTAAGCACATTTTTAACCCTTCTGATGCTTTACTCAAAACTTTTTCATTTATTTTTGGAAATTTCTCAACCTCAGCAGTGTAGCATGCCAAGGAGCTACTCACCCCCAGAGCAAATCTAGACCATATCTTAATCATTATGTTACTCTGAGCAGTTATATCCCTCTAAACAAAATAACTGAGTCATTTTGACTGCTTTGACTTTTGACTTTTAGAACTGCTTTCTCTTCCCCATTAGACCTCTGTGGAGATTTGTGCGACCATGGCCGTGCGTTTTGGGATTGCCGTCGTCTTGTCTGTCCTGCTGCCACTCTGCCTCTCGCATGGAAGGGACCCATTGGGCTGGCTTTTTCATCCGCAGAGCTACGGACGTTATTTTGGCTCCCTGCAAGCAGACGCAGCAGGAGGGGCCTGTCCCGAGGAGTGTGACTGCCCCCCTTCCTACCCTGTGGCCATGTATTGTGATGGGAGGGGCTTGACGGTCATGCCAACGATTCCTTCCCGCATCAAGTATCTATACATTCAAAACAATGCGATCACAGCTGTGCCCGAGTCAGCCCTACAAAATGCCACTAATTTGGTGTGGCTCATGATGCATCACAACCAGCTGACATCCAGTGGCATTGGCGAGAAGGTAACATAGGCCTATCCAGAGATGAACTCGGCCTTGATTCCTGTTAAAACTGTTAACAGATGGCTGGCAGATGTGAAGGCTCTGTCGGTTCAGTTCTATTGATATACAACTTAGTGAGGACAAATAATTTTTGGGGGAAATTGAAAAACTTTACTTTGTCATTGAGCCCAACTTCTGTGGCATATGCACACACCAATATGCTACAAGAATTATATGAAAAGAGGTATTTCAAATAAGTTTCAAATAATTGCTTTCTGGATTTGCATTAAAATGATATAAATAAATGTCTGGAATTAGAATATCTGTTTTGGCTATATCTTGATCGATTCTATCTATTTTCAGATATTTATGAAGTTGGAGGGACTGGAGCGTTTATATTTGCAACACAACAATTTGACCAGCATTCCTCCAAACCTCCCTCGCTCTTTGCGAGACCTGAGGATCAACCATAACAAGATTGAAAAGGTGAAGTCTAGTACAGTTCTCTCTCTCTCTGTATTTCCTCTCCTCTTTGGATTCGCATCAGCAGAGACATTAGACTTTAAAATGATTGCCGCTGTTGTCTAGGTAACACCTGCAGACCTAGAGGGAATGGATAACCTCACTATCCTTTATCTTCACGACAATGCTGTCACAGATATGAGCACTTCACTGAAGGCACTGAAATCCCTCACACTGCTTGACATTAGTGGCAACAAGCTGACAAAGGTAATTGTGTGTCTATGTGATTGTAAAATGCTCCAATGAGCAAACACATCATTCTGAGAGAAAATGCTTCATTTTATTGACTGTTCCAGGTCCCTGATGCTCTTCCTGCAGATCTACACCAGCTCTACATTGAGTATAACTCCATTGCCTCTCTCCCTGAGGGCTTCCTGGGTGGTTTAGCTCAGCTGCAGTATGTCAGGTTGGCACACAACGAGCTTACAGACAAGGGAATCCCTTCCAACACTTTTAATGTGACTGGGCTTGTGGAGCTGGATCTGAGCTTCAACAAACTGGAAAGAATTCCTCCTGTCAGTACCACACTACAGCATCTTTATCTACAAGCCAATCAGATAAAAGGTAAGTAGTTTATAGGTCTGTAATACAAGCATCTTTGTAGAAAACTTACAGAGGGATTACAGGGATATCCTCCTAACTCTTGATTGTTTGAGTTATGCAATGTCAGTATTATTCTAAAGAAATTCTAAAAGATACAGCTAGTCAACTTTGGATAGGTGGTGGTACTTTCCATACAGCGGCAGAGAGGTTTTGATTAGTGTTTGTGGAATAATTCCTGAAGGCTTGCCATGATAGTGCTACATCATTTGGATACAAGACTGAGCGAGTTATGGTGAATCATCAACACCTTCTCTGTGTTCTGTGACTTTAGAATTTACCCTGGGCAGTTTCTGCAGCATCGTAGATGTGACCAATTTCTCTAAACTGCGAATGCTGCGACTGGAGGGGAATGAGATCAGTCGCGAGGACATCCCCTCAGACTCAGCCCTCTGCCTGCGGCAGGCTTCCAGCATCGATGTCTAACCGCATGTGTCACATCATTTATTGCTTTACACACACAACTGGGTTTACAAAATGTGCCTTGGGGTGTGACAGGTGTCAACACCAAATCAAAGCAGGGCCAATGACGTAATGTGATGCTGACTGCAGGTGGCAGCAGTGTGTTGAGAACATGTGAAACGTCCTCAACATTTCAGTTTTTTTTTTTATCAATAACCTGTTTTCAGTTAGATGTGTCTGCTTTTATCAGGGCACATTAGACTTTGTCGTAAAAAAACAGCATTTAAACTTAATAAGTTTACCTTTACATTTCTACGACCCTGATCCTTGTTACACTTTGCTGTGAGGATCAATGACCTTTATAATCAATGTTTTTCTTACGTTTGCATACTTTTAATTCTCTTTCCCTTTGTCTAACTTTCACCATTTCTTATTTTCTATCTAATAAAAAGCTAAGAAACATTTTATGTGATGTGAACTGTGAATTAAATAGATACAAATGAAAGCTTTTAGGAATCAGAACATTAGAAAATTGTATGTCTGTGTTGCAGTGGGGTAAATTACACTGTCTTTGTAATCAATTTGCTGGGATTTTCTTATAAATGACGATCTCCTTTTTCACCATTTATTAAGGAAATAAAAAAAGTCTTTCATGTGATGAAAATCTAACCTTAATGTGGAAATAGGAGAAAGTGAGATAAACAGACATTGTTTCTGTAGGCTTGTGTTGTGATTCGTGAGTTTCTGTAAGCATCCGGCAGATTGATTATCATATTTGTGTAACAGACCTGGTTTTCATTTATGAGCCAAACAAATAAAGGATTGGAATTTTTTGTAAAAACAGTCCTTTTCACTTTCGCTTTCTTTTTAAATGTTAAAATTAAGTTGCACAACTGTGCTCTCTATTTTACTGTCTTTGTGGTATGACTTAGTAATGCCCTGGATTTGAACACTTTTTTCTCAGGAAAAAGTCAATTGTCTAAAGATTTGTGTCGATGTTATGCATCTGTTCCATTCTTACAAGCAATGGTAATGAAAAACAAACTAACTGTAATCAGTTCACCCTGTCAATGAATCTATAATAGATACAAATATTTTCTATATGTGTGTCTATTTTTAATGCTGCAGATTGTTAGGCGCTTCAAACACCAAACTGAGATATTAATTTCTTTCAGCATATTAGCGTGATTGTCCATCAGTTATCAATGCTGAACTCAAGGTGTATAGAAAGGAAAAGTTCTCTGACAGAACTAACAGATGTAGAGGAAAGCATGTAGGATGATGTAGGCACAGTGAAGTTAATTAAATACAGCACTAAAAAGAAAGGTTAATTCTCAATATGCAGCATCGTGAAATTACATTTTTCAAAACATTCCCACTGTGCCTGGAGGGTTGGAGGCAAAGAGATTGCTTTTAGATCCAATGCTTTCATTTTCAACCAAATCATAATTACAAACCTGTTTTGTGTCACAGTCTGTTTCCTCATCATCACCATACCTGGCTGTAATTATTCTCAATCTCAAACCCTACAGTTTTAACACAAAGAAAAAATTTCAGCAAATGTCTTTTTGTCGTGTTTTATTCACTTGAAGGTTGCAGATCTGAACACAGTTAATCAGTTTCTGAAATGTGTTGTAGCTTCTATAAATGTTAATCTATTGCTGCTTTTTTCCATGTTTCTACTTTTCTTTATTTCAACGATTATACTTCATTGTCGTCAGACCCAAACGGTGTGTTTGGGTGTGTTATTGACCACTGACTGGATGGCCAGAGCATTCCAAATGGACTATTTTTATCCTGTTAGTCAAAACATTTTGCCAGCTGTGGCCTCCTCAGCATATTGTCATAAGAGATAAAGTAGATTATGTAATTTTGGTAAGTAACTCTTGGTCAAACGTCACTGACCAAATTAACCTGAAAGAACTTTATGGGAAGACCACAGCCCACAGAAAAAAGATAAACACATCACCTCCTCTGACTAACTTCCAAGGGGTGATGACATCATAACTTTATCACTTAAAACTTAAAGGATCATTCAAATACTTAGTGAATAAATTAAGTGTTTAAACCTTGGTAAAGCATGGCCACAAATGAAAAAACTCAGTCAAGCTCATTTAATGTTCTGTTGCAGAGCCCTTCAAATTTATTTTCTTCAGGCAAAGGAGTCCTGGATTTTATGTATTTATATAAGCACTTATTTATGGATAATTTACCTTTTCAATTTCATAAATGCAACAACAAAAAAGCAATTGATGCTCCAGATCTTAGTATGGACATCGCTTATCCACTATCATGATATCTTCTGGCTAGCTAGAAGTAACAGAATCAAAGTTATTGGACCACAGCAGTGAGGTTCCTATGCTGAAGCAGTCTTATTGAGATTTGTCACAAAACTGTCCATGAAGAAAGAAAACATTCTGTGAAATGTCAAAGAAGCAATCGAAATCACGACACACAATACACCACTAGACTATCAGACACTACCAACTTCCAAATCTGAACTTTTTCCGCATTGTTTGTGTATTTGTGATGTGAGACTTGTGTTTCAAGGACCCAGTTTAAGACGGGTGGAAAGTGGAAATAGGCCGGTGATTTTGCTCCATCTGGATGTGGTGTCATACCTGACTGGTTTTCTCAGAGGTCATTCACTTTTTTTGTCTTAAATATACATATCCAGACCAGTTCCAACAGAATGGTTGTGACAAAGAGGACATTTTCCACAAAGACACTTTCAAACACATGGCTAACAAGATCAATTGAAATCACTCATGAACCACTCTACATTGATTAAACTTTGCAGGTAAAATAACATTTGTTTCCACAGAGTTTGTTTTCCACATGACATTAAAATGTCAGGAAAATTGAAAGAACCACATCAGAGATATGAATTTGGGCACTTCACATTGAAACTTAACCTGTTGAGCCTTCTCATTTGTTGCATGTTGAAACGTTTAGATATAACAGTGGTTGGCAAATAAAATAATGTCATTCTGGTGGAGAGCTGACTTTGCTTTTATCTCTCTGTGTCAGCTATCATGTCATGAGGTTGTGGTCGCATACTGAGGCTGTGATGATTACACCCCAGTGACGTGACCTTATCTGCTCAAAGTGTCTGTTTGCAAACAGGCTGTCATTATGTATGCATGTCATTGACCAAAATTCCATAAGCTGCAGTGATATCAAAAAATGTTGGAAAGAACAACATCACAGACACACACAGCAGTGACGTGATGTCACTGATGTAACATTTACATTTAGAAACTTTGCAGGTCCATATGAGTAGCATTTCTATTTCTGCAGTGGAAATCGTCGCAATCCTGGCAATGAAACATTCATCAGCCTCGAATAAGTGAGTTTAGGTGAGTCACTTATATCAGTGGGAAGCCTCCATACTAACAGATGTAATGTTGCTTTTTTTAAATGCTTGATTGTTTTCACAGTCACACATCTCAGGGAGGAGTGTCAAGTCAAGTGATAGGCTGGGGAAAATCCCTCACTTATCTTTGCAGCAACCACCTTAAAACTAATGTGCAGAAAGGGATTCAAACTTCAGTTGAGACAAACAATCAGGTTAAAGGACATGAAGAAGTACGGCTGGAACAGCGTCACAGATTTAATTTTCAGAAATCCTGCAGTTGTTGGACAGGTAGGACAGCAAACCTGCTTAATCTAACTTTGATTTGATCATTTGTCAGCAATATTTATTTGGGAAAAATTGGATTAGATCAAATCCAGCATAAATTAAGAAAGGACACAGCTCTACTTAACTTATGTCAGAATAATGTGTGGTTTTAGGGTTACAATAAGTAGATTTATAATTAATCATGATGTCCTACAACAGACATGTGCTGTGAAGTTTTTTTTATAATTTAACAGTGTCAGAGACACTCTGTTGCTTTACACCGAAAACTTGTCATGGTCACTAGCACAGGAAAAATACTGTAATTAAATAAAACTGTCTGTTTTCGTGAACCTGGCACTGACAATTGATTTTTTACATTTTGTAATTACCAAAAGGATTTATACATTGTGTAACAGTTACTTTTGGAACTTTTTAATAACCAGGATCCTCATGTGGATGTCCAGGATGAAAATACTGAGCGTGGGAACTGGTCCAGCAAAAGGGATTACATCCTCTCTATGATTGGCTATGCTGTTGGACTGGGAAATATCTGGAGATTTCCATATTTAACCTACAAGAATGGAGGGGGTATATCCGTCTTTGTGTTCTTATCCATCTACGGCCCTTTTTGATTACTATGTTTTTAATACTTTTTCGTTTTTCCTCCTGTGCCACCAAATCTTTCTATATGGGCAGGAGCTTTTCTTATCCCCTATTTTGTAATGTTGGTGGTCGTTGGAATTCCTCTCTTCTTCTTGGAAAGTGCCTTTGGTCAGTTCTGCAGCCAAGGTTCAATCAATGTATGGAGAGCAGTGCCAATATTGCAGGGTGAGACCACCTTTCAAGTTCAATGGGGGGCTATGTGGGTGTGTCCGAATGCCAATATTTACATTGCAGACAGTTGACAAATAGATGTGTTTTGTGGTTAATGGTCAACTTTGTAACCACAAATGAAACCCTAAATCCATTTTAATGACAACTGTAGTTAATAATCAACTTCACTTGGAGAAAAGAAATACTTTAACCTCTGAATGCGTGATGCCTTTAGGTTTATTGTTTTGTATAATTAACTCTTCCCTTCACATACTGCTTTGACCAAAGTTGAACAGAGGGCATTACAAAGATTCCAATGCATTCGTATAAATACGTTTGACAATAATTATCTTTTTTTAAGGTAATAGCATTTATTTTATGTTCTCTTTGCCCTCTCCAGGTGTCGGCATTGCCACGGTCATGGTGACTTTTATAGTATCAATTTATTACAATGTCATCATTGGCTACAGCCTGTACTACATGTTTGCCTCCATGCAGTCTCCTCTGCCATGGTCCAGTTGCTTCAGCTGGGCGGACAGCAGTTGCAGCAACACATCTATAGGTACGTCTTTTTTCTTTCTTTGGGATTAATAAGTACGCTGTTTCAGTGAGGGTGATATTTCTGTGAGGTGGTCTGACAGATTGATACAGTATTAGTTTCATCCATCCATTTTCTGAACCGCTTATTCCCAAATGGGTCGCAGGGGGAGTGGAACCCATCCCAGTATTCAGTGGATTAGGGGCAACATATAGAAGCATGAAGACGACCACACACACTCACACACACTCAGATTCAGTTATTTAGAAAACAAGATTTTCGATCTGCTTGCTTTCTGGAAAAGACATCTTAAGTTATTATTGATATTTTAGATCAGCTACTAACTGGTTCTCTCTTCTTTTCCAGTGAATTGTACTTTAAGTGAAGTTTTTATGGGCAACGGGACTCAGCAAAACAGTACTTGTTCTTCACCCAACATGATTCCAGATTCTGTGCAAAGTCCGAGCGAGCAGTATTGGGAGTAAGGATTACACTGTTTGTTGCAAACAAATGCACATCCTTGTCCTTCTGTAGCCAATGCACGCGTACTAAAGATGCCTCTCCTCCTCCACAGTCGGGTTGCTCTGCAGAGATCCAGTGGTTTAGATGAGACAGGACCAGTAGTTTGGCATCTAGCGCTCTGCCTGCTGCTGAGCTCCATAATTGTTGCTGCAGCACTCATCAGGGGCATCAAGTCATCAGGCAAAGTAAATAATTCAGTTTAAAATCTGCACATAACAGCTGGAGTAACACAATGTAATTTTTGTATGAAAAAAGATTTACTGAAGCATGCAAAATACCACTTGATGCAGAAAACTGTATTCAATCCATAGAAGCTGTGATTGTAAAAAGCTTTTGACCTTTCCAGTTCATTATTCCCATTCCTGTTCTCATTGGACACTGTTTGGGAAAACAAAGAAGACAAGCAAAGCACCTTTAAATTTCAGTAAAGTCTTATTAATACTTATAGTCTGTGGTCTATTTCACATTTTGATAAGTTCAAAGAGGCAGCATAGAATGAGGAATGAACAGAATGACATATTTACCTTGATCGAGACTTTTGTTTACATTTATACAGAATTTTAGTCGGAATATTAACACATAGATTAATCTCTTCCTCTTGAATTTAACCATTTGCTTGTGTCCGTGCAGGTGGTGTATTTCACAGCTACGTTTCCTTATGCGGTGATTTTGATCCTGCTGATCAGAGGTGTGACACTAGAGGGAGCTAAAGATGGTATAGAGTTTTACATTGGTTCACAATCCAATTTGACAAAGCTATACGAAGCACAGGTAGGCATCCAACCATCCATCTTCAAGTGCAACACATAAGTAGAGTTTGGATGTGGTAAGATATACCTTAAACTAACAAACATTATGCATTGTAGGTGTGGAAAGACGCCGCAACTCAGACCTTCTATTCTCTCTCTATTGGGTGGGGTGGACTCATGACTCTCGCTTCCTACAACAACTTTCACAACAATGTGTTCAAGGACTCATTTATTGTAACACTTACTAATGCTGGTAGGAGACCGGCCAGCCAAATTGCTTGCAGAAAAGAAGATTATAATAGATCCTAATCTCATTACTGTTTTCTTATATTCACAGGGACCAGTGTGTTAGCAGGCTTTGCTATATTTTCAATACTGGGTCACATGGCTTACATCTACAAAATACCTGTTGGAGAAGTGGTAAAGGAAGGTCAGACATCCAAATCATGTGTGAACCAGTGAACAACTGCTGTATGTCGGAGCAGGTTATCATCTATTACGTTTTGTTTCTTGTTTCACGCAGGATTTGGCCTGGCCTTCATTGCCTATCCTGATGCTCTTTCAAAGCTGCCCATTTCTCCATTCTGGTCCATTATGTTCTTCTTCATGCTTTTGACTGTTGGGCTGGACTCTCAATTTGCAGGAATCGGTCAGTTTTTCCTTCCGCTGTGCATTGTATTAGTAGAATAATAAGTCCACTGATTTTTCAATCTTCAATTCTCTCCTCTTGTTATTAGAGGTATTAACTACCTGCCTGCACGATGCGTTCCCTAAAACCTTCAAATCCAAACGGGCCCTACTGACAATAACCACATGTTCTATTATCTATCTCCTGGGTCTGCCATGTGTCACAAGAGTAAGTTGGCCTCAGTGCAACTTTGTATTATTGTTTTCCAACATAAAGCTAGTTAGCATGCTTAGTCCATGTGTCTCTGCATGTCTTCACCACAGGCAGGAATATATTGGGTGACTCTCATCGACCAGTTTGTCGCCAGCTGGGTGCTGCTCATTTTGGTTCTCTTTGAAATCATTGGTGTCAGCTACATTTATGGTAAATATGATAATTAAAGACATGTGCTTTTTTTTAAAGTAACAGATGGTTTCAAACGTCAGCTTGTCTGTATTTGTCTTCACAGGAGGGAACCGTTTTATTAAAGATATTGAGATGATGCTGGGAAATAAGACTTCACTTTTCTGGCTTTGGTGGAGAGTCTGCTGGTTCTTTATTAGCCCCTGTATCATAGCAGTAAGAAAACATCCCATAATCCTTCTTTATTGTCTTCATATGGTTTCTATTTTAGAGACTCTATCTCAGAACCTGAGATGTTTGAATATGCAGAATTTTGAATGACACACTTTGATTATATATGTCTGGCAACAAATGTACATGTTGAAGAGTCACATCCCGTGAATATAATCAACCATACCTCAGATGCAACGCACAAAAAGATTTTAGCAGGAATTTGATTTAATTCAACCTTTGTTTAGGTCATATTGGGATGGTCTGTGGTCACCTTTGTCTCCCCCACCTATGGGAAACAAGCCTATCCATCCTGGGGTTTGGCTCTTGGATGGTGCATGGTTGCATTCATCCTTATCTGGATCCCAGCTGTCGCTGTGTACAAGCTTATAAGAGCAAAAGGAAACACCTGGAAGGTGTGTATATGTGATGCCTCAAACTTCTGTATGTCTTGTTTTGCGCTTCACTAAATATTTCCCAGTGATCTGCAAGAATTTCAGGGAGAAATATTAACATATCTAATTGTACTTAAAATGAAAATGTCCACTTTTTACAGCGTCTTAAGTCACTGTGCTCTCCATCTGAAGAGTGGCACCCCTACCTGGACATCCATCGAGGGGAGCGCTACTCAGAAGAACGCTGCCGCTGTAGGAAGATAAATAAGAACAATGGAGAGGCAACAGTTAATGTTATCTCCAGCTCATGGCTCTGAGTTGTGTTAGTGTGCTACTTATCTTTTCTCCGGAGTTTTATTTTATTCAACTTTTGTGACATCCAGGACAGAGTAATGTATTCTAGTAAGGGGATTAGTTTGTGTCAATCATGTTTTGTACTCTACTTGAAGCTGTGTGATTTCCCCACCAACAAACTAAAAACAGAATTTCCATCAACCGACTGACTTTTGGAGGCAGTTTTTCCTAAGGCAGGTGGTGTGGTTAATCTTTAAACATAACCAGCAATGGTCGTCTGCTCTTCTATTTTGAAATCCAGCCTCCAAATGTGGACTGTCTGGCGGTTAAAGCTCTCCTTTCATGAATATTGTTCAGGCTGGATACATACACATGGCTTATGCATGTCATGTTTTCACAGACAAGTGAAATGAGTTCAACTTGAAGTCTTAATATCACATGAAGTCAAATCTGTGCTGTTAGCACAAGTGAAGGTAGCCATTCTTCATACACACTCCACAAGCCAAGATTTATGTTTGGACATATGCGAGAGACAGCAGCTTCAGAAAAAAGAAAAGAAAAAAATTGTGGTGGTGAAAACCTCTTAAAACTACAGCTTCTATCTGTTTTACAGGCAGCTCTTTATAGTTTATTTGACTTAACCTCACATTATCAGTTTGGGTCATCTTATGGTCACGACACAATAGCATTTTTTCTCCTTTTTATTTCTGAGTTGTTCAGGTTACTGTCATCATGAAAGCTGCATGACTCTTCAACAGTCAACACACATTTTGAAGCTGCAGGTTCTCGTGACTTACACACAGAAAGGATTTTTGCCTCTACAACTGCATGTCTAAAGGGGCTGACTGACTCTATTATTCTCAGTATCATGTCACTGCATTTGAAAATATTTTATGAACATAAAATATTAAAACAGACTTCAGAATTTTAAAAAGATCATGTAAATGGGAACTGGATATCTTTTGCCAGCCCCCTTGTGATTTATTGCTTAATGTGGCATTATGATCCTTTAATATCACTAAATATCTCAGTAATTCATTACAACCATTTTAATTATTCTAAATTCACCTGAGATGTTTATTTCTGTGTTTTATTGTAGTCTGTAATTAAACTTGTCTTTCAGTGCCAAGAAAAGAAAGTGTTCTATCAGTCCTCACCCTCTATTTGTTACCGATGTTTTTCTTATGGGAAGATACCTTTTATCATGTTCTCTTGTATGCGATAAAACTATGTATCGCTGAAGATGCAAGTTAACTTGAATGATGCTGAAAAAACATTTCAGGCTGTTGAAGAATGTGTTGTCTCTTTTTTCAATTCATTATTTTCAAACTGTTTCTAAGGGCTTGGGGCTTAACAGTGTCACACTTATCTCACAATATGAATGTGAATAAATCAGATTACGGTATAGCTGAAAGGCTTTTATTTTATTGATGTCCTAAAAAACTTTGTCACCAGGGCTCTTGTAACTCTAAACATCACACAGGCAATTAGCCTTGTAGCTGTTTGTGTCATTTTTGTCAGAGTATTTGTTATCTTCTCTCATCTCATGATGTTGAGGAAGATAAATGCAAACTCCAAATGCATAAATCAATGACAGCACCATCAGTCACTGCTGTAGGAGTGTCATTTCCAGCAAGAGCTGCATAAAACAGATGAACTGTTGTTTCCTGGAGTGAGTATATCCATTGTGCAAGTGATTGAATGTGTATATTTATTAGTTTGACAGTACAAAGTTTATATGAACAACAAAACAGCTGTGTAGTGTCACACTGAGTGTTAGAGAAAACAGGTGTGCGTCTGTGCTATTGTGAATGTTTTACTATGATTCTAATCATCTCAGCAGTAGAAAACTGTCCGTATAGTTTAAGCTGCATCTCTTAGTGTTATCTCCCATGGTTTTAACAGGTCATGGCAATTATAACATCTTTGCTATCAGCACTCTAGTGTCTGGTATTATTGACCAAACAGAGAAATGTTGTTAGTGATTAATTTGAGGTGCATTATTAGTGCAGCACCATATTTCACCACCAGGGAGAGTGAAAAAGCCACACAGAGCAGGGATCCATTTTGTATGAGGTCCTCAGTAACAGCTAATTATATACTGATGGATCATTTTAGCTCCCTCCAGCACTTATGTTAAAACATTTAAAGTATTTTTTTCTCAGAGGACTATGTAAGAAAATCATGTTTCTACTGCTGTAAAATCAGACCTTTTGTTGTAAAGATGAGTTACACTGAACTGACTCAACCTCTTTTCTCCATCTTTCTCACCATGGCAACCCTGCACAGAGAGCCAGTGGATAAACACAAACCTGTTGCCATCGCCCCGGCCAAAAACATTGCCCCATGTCCACATGCATGGAAACAGTGCTGATTAAGAAATCACCTAAGTATAAATATTATGATAAGCACAGATTATTAACATTCTTTTATACAACCCACTCTGCGACAAAATGAAGCAGCTACATTTTCTGCAGAATAGCAGTTATGGTTTGTAATGATGATGAATCCTTTGGTCTTTCAGGTCTTTCCTCGTAGGCTAGCAGCATGATTAAGGAGTACGGTCAGCAATCTCTCTCAACAGGATGTCTCATCTTTCTTCATTTCGTGAACTTCTCAGGCATGTAAGAGTGTGTGTTTGACAAAGAGAGATCAAACTGAACGAGA